CCTATATATTATTTGACAAAGATAACGAAGCACATTGTGTTAGTAAGAGATCGTAATTAATTGTTTAATTAATTAATTTGCACTAATTAGTGGGCAGTTCATACCTGATGGTCTGTAGGGTGTTGTATAACAATTCGTAAGCCACAGACCTAACTATGCTGAAGTAAAAATTCAAGTAAAACATGTGCGCCTACACTGTTTTGTCTTACAAACAACTAGTTTTGAAAAATCGTGTGCTAGTCAAGAGCTTTGTCACTTTAAATTCTATAACTAATTGCTATAACAAATAGTAGAAACATAATATATAGGGAGAAAAATGCTGACATCTTTTTGTATAATACGAAAAAGTGTTTTTTGATGAATCTTCTTGTCGATACATAACAGTGTAAGAATTTTTTGAAATAAAAAAGAAACAATACAAAAGAAAGCTAATCTCATCAAGTATAATTATCTGTTTCGCGTTCATCGATGTTTTTGGAATGCTCATTTGCTATCGGCTGAGTAAAAATAGTGTTTAAAAAAGTGTAAAGTCTAAATTGTAAACCGTATACAGTGTACTTTCTTTTAGCAAAGAGGGTGACTTCACATTTTAGAGTGTCTGCGCACTTTTTCAGCACAGATATACTTTGTCCCTAAAAATACTGTAGGAGAAGAGAAGTATAGTCAAGGACAAAAGCTGTTCGGTTTCTAATGCTTATATAAGACCCTCATTTATGTGAACAGCTTCGCAATACTAACTGTGTATTCATTTCTTATCTACTACTTTAACCTTATTATTGCCACAAAGATGTTGCAGCTGATTGTTTGAGGTCATTTTTTAGATTTCTCTATAATTGGTAATTTGCGCACGTCTGACATCGATATAGATAACAGTCGTTAAGAAGAATATTAATCATTTTCTGTCATACAGTCATGGTGATCAAATTTAATTATTTGTTGACAATTTATTTATAGTTTGGTGAAAATTCTGCCGATTCCTGTATAATATACTTCTTCTAGTAGGTAACATATCATTTACTTACGAAAAAATAATCATAGGCGAAATTTTTTTTATCGTAGATGGTTTTTACATGAAAAGTACAATAAGTGTTCAAATTGTTTGTTCTAGATACACAAGTGTTGTTTATCTATTATTTATGTTGTATTGTTTTATTCTTATGGGCCATTCTTGTCTTCCCTATGTATGAAAAATTTTTATCAAAAAATTATTTATTATTATTTTTAAATGTTGATTCAACGAAACAAATTCAACACCAACAATATTCAACATTATCGACTTTTAACATTAAAAATATCTTTCTGTCATTTATTAATGTGAATAAAGAAGCCCATACATGGAATCAAGAATTTTATAATGTATTAGATAAGCTTTATTATGGTGGAACGATTGGACAAAATGGAGTTTTATTGAAAGGAACAAAAAAATGCTTGAATATTTTGAAAAAAGTATGGTGTCAACGATTGCTTCAACCACCACTCGGTTTTCAGATAGCAGATCTAAGTAAGATTGAATTTTGAATATAACTTGTATTTTCTGACTAATAGAAAGAAAGTTGAACTTTTTTCGTTGTGTTTCTATACGATACAAAGGACTGGTTTTCTACGATAAGTAACTGTAATACTTGAAAATAGTAATAGGGCATTCTCTGGCAACGAAATGTGGCAGAGAAGCTTAAGAAACGCTCCTACAGTCCTTTGATGTCAAATTCAAGATGTAAAATTTTGATATTTTCAAGCTTGTAGAATAACTTTTAAAACTTCGTTGGCGAGGAGGTTTACCGTTTCAGAAGTTTAAAGAAAGCATAACGATATATTCTAATCGAAGCATATGATTAAATACGAGACAAAATCTTTTAAACCTAGAACGAATTTTTAAAAGTTATTCTAGTGAGAAAGTCAGAATTTTCTAGCCTGAATTTGATTTCAAAGGACTGTATATGGTCTTCTGCGCTATGCACTTGAAATACGCTATTCTACCAAAACATTCTACTATAGTGGATTCCTGTTGTTTTAAGCTGAATTGGTGATACAAATTAGAATGAATGTTTATTTACTGCTTTTTAACTTCGAAATCACTTTACTAAATTTTTTATTGTTTATATTTTGCGCTATTATCGTTTCGTAATCTTAGTTTAAGAACACTAAAACATAAGAGAAACACAATAATGTAGACCGCTGAAGCAAACCAACAGTATATACTCGATTGTCTATAAATTCGTTCAATTTCTTGTTTGAGCTCGATTTCATCTTTTTTTATTGCGTTTTGTATGAGTGAACTGATATCATCAGTTAATGTTCCACCGTTGATGAAAAAAGACCAGCCTAATATAAATAAGAAGAGAAAGCCAAATAAACTGACTATGCTGCAACATAATATCGACCAATTTGGTGGTGTTCGGTGTTTTTTCGTTAGGCTATTCGGTGAATAAGTTGTATCTTTATCCATTTGTAAATATTCTGATGGTAATATGGATAAAACCGATTTTGATGACAAACCCTCTTTTTCTTCTACTTTTGTTAGATCCGTATTTATTGAGACATAGTTTGTTGAATATGCTGGATAAATATGATCATTATTGTCAAAATTCATTAAATCATGTTCTCGCGGTTGTGGAGATAGTTTTGTCGGGTGTATAGAATCATCAACGCTGCTCATATGCTGCCGTTGATTAGATAAATATAGATATTCATCAGATATTGGTTGTTTATAATTGACTTTTTGCTTGCGTTTCGAATAATTGCTCACTAATGGATACAAGTCTTGAAGAATAACACGTAAAAATGAATCTGATGATTTTTTTGGTGCAGATGT